AGGCTGTCCAGCAGAGTGTTCTGAGGTCAGTGGGTTGGTGGGGAGGTTGTGAGGGGCTGGAGGTGGCAGGGAAGCGGGACATTGAGGGCACCCTGGGTGCCTGTAACGGGATGCAGCAGCTGCTGGGCAACTGCTCCTTTGTGTCCCATTGCTAGCAGCAGTTGGCTTTCTCCTGCTGATCCTTCCTCTCCGGGTGTCCGGGTGTACCCTTGGTTGGTCAGCAGCCCATGCGTCACCACCATGTGACCGCTCTGGGGGAGCAGCCAGGAAGAATCGCTAGGAGAATGCCAACTGCATCTGGGAGTATCTCCAGGTCAGTGGGGTGGTGGGGAGATTGAGCAGGGCTGGACTGGAGGTGGCAGGAAGGCAGGGGTCAAGGCTATGCCCCCCTACCAGCAAAAAAAGAATATCCCGCCGTCCCAGAACTGTGCGAGGTAAGGGAAGCAAGTCTTGGGAGAGACCTTCCCTCCCCCTTCAGAAAGCCTGAAGGCAGAGAAAGAAAGGAGGCGTGGGGTAGCTGAGGGCGAAGGAGCTTGCAGGGGTGCTTTGTCACATGCCTCCTTTCTTTCTCCGCCTGCCCGAATGAGTGAAGGAGGAGCCAGCCCCAAACCACCCACTCGTCTGCGTTCAAACCAGCCCGCTTCCCTCCTGCCTCTTGGCATGGACTGTCTGGAGGGGGAGGGAAGGTTCTTTCCAACAGCAGCTTCTCTACTTCCTTCCTGCAGCATCAATCCATAGGGGGAGGGCAGGACACGGACTGTTTTGCAGTGATGGGGAAATGGAGGCTTCTTTGCCAGCCTCCCAGCTGGCAAAACAGACATTTTCACAGTGGCTGCTGAAGCACAATCCCAGGCAGTTCCTTCCCCAAGCATGTCCCATTGCTGCTGGAGCCACTTTTGCTGAATCTGGAGCGGTGGCGATGGCAAGAAGCGGCTGCCAGCGATGCCTGCCCGAACAAGTCAAGGAGGCAGGCGGACAAAGAAAGGAGACGTAAGAGAAAGCACCCCCACCACCAAGGGCGAAGGAGAGCTATCGCATGCCTCCTTTTTTTTCTCCGCCTGTCTGAACGAGTGAAGTAGACAGACAGAGAAAGAAAGGAGTTGTGAGAGAAAGAAGGCGCAAGAAAAAGGAGGCTGAAAAGAGGTGGTTGAACACCCCGGGTTTTTTTTCTAAAGGGTTAGGAGTGCAAGAGTGTTGTAAGTTGACAGCTTTAAGACTTGCATGCTTCAAATACCAGAGTTCCCGAGCCAACATTTTGGTTGCTAAGCAAGAGCATTAAGTGAGTTCCACCACATTTTAAAAGTTGGCCACGCCTACCCAGTCACATGGCTGGCAAGCCACTCCCACATGGTCATATGATCTCCAAGCCACTCCCACCTGGTCACATGGCCAACAAGCCCCTCCCACACAGTCACATGGCAACCAAGCCCCTCCCACAAAACAGGCCACACCTACAGAATGGGTTCTAAAAATGTACACCCAGTTTTGGCTTGGAAAGCCTCCTGCACCAACCTGGAAGCCAAAAATCGGCAGGGGGCAGGGAGCATGTGTGGGGGTGCATGCATGCATGAAGGGGGCATGCATGTGTGTGGGGTGGGGTGCATGCATGGGGGTGCGCACATTGCATTTTGGAGTTTCATGCACACTCTTTGGGCACTCGGTACCAGACAGGTTAGCCATCACTGCTGTAACAGATGATATAAATATAAAAGGAAACCTATTTTATAGCATAAAACAGAGACTGATGCTGATTTGAATATGGATTTGGATCTTTTTTTTAATGCTATTTTTAAAAAGTGATATGGATAAAAAATGCTGTGGATTTAAAATCCTGCAACATAAATGATGCGGAAAAATATGCCACAATGGATTTACAAATGAAACAAATAACTTAAAGGAGTCATAAAAATAATAAACCAGAAGATTGACTTGGAAAGCTTTCTTATCTGAAATTTA